AACAGATTTTTATTTTAAACTTAACGTCAAATGACCCATAAACAATGTATTTTATTTTAACGAGACGTTTAAAATTTAAATATTTTTACTACATAGCTATTATTTGTCTAACAATGATATTTATCCATCAATATCGATTTAACACTGAACGTTTTCTGTCAAAAGCACCAAAGTACATATCGTTGTTCTGAAAATATTATATCGTACCAATAATAAAATACAAAAAACAATAATAATTGTTACCTTGTTTGTACAGGTACGGCCTGGCCCACTGGAATACCTGGAGGTTCCCGGTGGCCTGACCTATTTATTGGGATTTGTCATTGGCCTAACGGACGTATCACTTTTTTTTTTTAAATAATTAGTTAGTTTTTTAAAAAATTAAATAGTTAGTTTTTAAAAGAAGTTTTTGCACATCAAAAGTTGTCTTAAACATAGTTAATAACATTTCAGAGGAATATCCATGACCGCCGATAAAATAAAAATATAATATAAGTTGAATAAACAAATAAATATAAAATGTATTATTTACAATGGCGCGCCCACTGGAAGGTTAATATGGATATTTTGGGATACAGAAAAGCATTATTATTATTGTGTATGTTTCGTCGATACAAATGAGGGGGTTGGGGTTGCTGAGAAAATAAGTCAAGTTATGTGTAATAGTTGTAGAAACTGCACACTGAGTTGTTAAAAGTATTGATAAAATACAATTTATATAGTAACGCTCATCAAGTCTTAACAGTTGCTTATAAGTATTTATTGTGTCTTCCTGTTATTCAAGTTGCCTGTGAACGATCTTTTTCTACTTTAAAGTATATAATAAATAGGTTAAATAGTAAACTTACTAATGAATATATTGAAACGTTTATATTAAAGTCAGTTGAAAAAGAAATGTCGATAAATATTGATAATGATCAAATAATTGATTTATTGTCGCAAAACAGTAAGCTTTCAACATGTCTTTAAAATGTCTTTAACTTATTATTTATATTAAAATATAAAATTAATTGTATAAAATTAATTGATGTATGTATATTCTTTTTGGTTTGTTTATAAAATATAATTTATTATAAAAAATTCAATCATATAGTAGGTATTGCTTATTTATAAAAACCAAAGGTTAATTGAACTTTTTTTTCACTTGTTTAAAGAGAATACATAAAGTTACACAGATAGGTATAACTAGGCCTTCGAAATTAAATTTACATGAACAGACAATAGTCTCATAAAAATATTGATACTGATTGAAGGTTTATTTTTTTATGTCTTCTTATACTATTCGTATAATAAAAACTAAAAGATAAGATAAAGAAAGATAAATAAATAATTATTAAATAAATTGGTAGTGTTGTTGGAGGGGGAGGGGATAAAACACAAGCTCAACCCTCCTCTACCTCACCCCCACCACTATAGTAACGGCCTATAAGCTAAACATAATATATGGCCAGGATAATACATTTTCCCGACTTCAATTTTTCTCCCAGGCCGTCCCTGTGTTTGTATATTACACAGATTATGAACATTTAATTTCATATGATTATCTCTCTTGATGGCATTTCCAAGAATTTTATTTACGATTCACAAAAGAGTGTCGGGGGAAAAAAAAAAGAGAAAATATTAAACAAAAATAAAAAAGTGAAAAAGAAAAAAAAGATTTTTGTTGAAGAAATTCATGCCAAGGGATGGAATGTGTCTAATAAAAGCTGTTGTTGGCTATCCAACATTTAAAAACTTTTAAAACAAATGAACATTACTGTGGACTTGAGTCAATTAACTTTTAAACGTCAAGACGTCTTTTTTCAATTATATTATTTAACTGCTATAATAAGTATTTTTTATTCACTTTTATGTTTATTATTAAGCCATCGCACTTTTGTAAATCCTTTTTTTTTTATGATTGAAATACTAGTCAAACAGGCTTCTGTAACGCATATATAAATGCAAGTTTAATAATCTATTTAAATGTGCCGTATACTTAATATTAATTGTAGTATTATACTAATTGTAGCATATTCTACGCGAGTTCAAAAAAAATTGATTTACATAATATTACTGTAAAAATAATTAAATTGTAAAGTTATATTATGTTTTATTTTACCCTTAATGTATATTAATAAATAATAATTTTTGTGGTTTTAGCAGTTGGTTTATCTCTTGTCAGCAATATTATTGTAATAAAAACCTTTCTCTCCCATTATTTAATTGATATTTATTCAAATAGGTTAATTATTACAATACGAAAAAATAAACCGCACGAATAATCAAATAGTATTTATATAGTATTATACGAATGCAATGAATATCATAATAATAATTCTAATAATAATCATAATAATAATAATAATTATAATTATAATATATTCCGTATTCACATGTATCTAAACGTTTATATTATTGATTTAATATAATTATCCTATATTATGCTTTGTTTTGGATTCCATATGATTACAAACGTAATTTACTTTCAAAATTACATTTTAAATTTAATCGATTCGATCAATACATTGCGTGTAATACATAACATTAATATTTTAAGGTTGAGTTGCTGGTTCGGTAGAGTAGGTGTGTATGATAAACATATATAATATTATATTATAATATATTATGCAGGCTCTGGTGGAATATTTTTCATAAGTATTCAGAATAAATAATACACAAACCGAACAAAAAAAAAACAATATATAGAATTATCTAATACTTAATATCTAAATATTTATTTAAAAAATGATATGTACATCAGTCAATCGAACACAAACAACGGTGAATCGTCGTTGTCTGTACGTGAAATATTTGTAGATACCTATTATAAAAGTACTAATCTTTATTTATTAATTTTTTTTCTTGTTTACAATAACGCTACGTATGAAGAAAATAAAAGAAATGATCGACGTTTAGAAAGGTAATTGTATCTCGAGTATAATAGATAGAAAATACAGTTTATTATGAAACGCTTTTTGAAAATGCCCGAACCATATTCCGTTTATTACTCGTTCGAAACGTTGTGTACAAGTAGAACCTCGTAGGTAAAATGCAAAATTACTACGAATTCAGATACAAAAAGTCATGTGTTGGCATTTACTTCGGAAATAAATAATTAAACTATTCGAACAAATCAACAGCAATTTAAGTTTTCACTAATATACCAATAATATTGGTAAGGTAGTTGGTATTTCATATTGAAATAATGATATCAACTATTGAATAATTTCGAAACACAAAAAAAATCAAATGATTCGCCGATGAAACATAAAAACTAGTTTGAAATTAAAACGTTTTACTATTATCTTAATACGTTTCGACCCATCATCAATACACAATTTATCGTTATTATGATTGTCAGAAATTCATGTAAAATATAACGAGAAGTATATTTGTACATTATCTACTTTTGTATTTATTAAAGTATTTCGACACACGTAATATTCGATAAAACGTAGCAGTTTGATGGCTATACGGAATAATAAAACAGGAAGAGGATTTTTATTCGACTTTTACGATTGATATGAATCCTGAAAATCCGTATGAACCGTGTATCGCTGAAATGTTATTTTCATAATATTATTTATCTATGGTTATCTAAGAAAGTTGACTGACTTCATCTCGTACGACATGTATCATTATCTTCTTCTTTGGCTTTCTACTATCCTTTCAGGCCTATTGCCGCAACAACTACTTGCCTAGTGGTATTTCTATCCAAGTTCCAATATTTATGTCCATTAAATCTTTGTTCCGAGACTTAAGATGTTGTTGATTTTTATCATACATTTTTTTTAAGAGGTTACATGTACCTACGAGCCTCTATATGCACAACGCACATTTTTTCTAATCAATTAATTTTACATCATTACTACGGCATTACATGTATATTCCATGTGAAGTAAACGTCGGAACACATGATAACGACCCCGATGTTATGATTCGCAAGAGATAATTCCAATTAAAAGTGGTGGAGTTCCGGCCGAGTATTGCTCGGGCACCACCTTCCCGCAGACATTCGCACGAACCCGGAGGGAGCGCGGTATGACCGCGACTAGGTTCAGGAGCGGGTTTAAAGGGGTGGATAAGGGAATATTAGCTCTCTACCCTTGGGACTAAGCTAACTATCTTACAAAGCCAAGTATTATAATATAATGATATATTAATTATTATTGTAAGATATCGTCAATCGTCATAGGTGAATATGGTACCTATTTTAATATTTTTTTATAAATAAATAGTTTATTTTTGTCGTTAATTATATGTGTACACCCATATTTTTAAAATGGTTTCAGATTAAAATTGATACCAATAATGTAGCTATTTAAAAATTTGTCACTATTGTGAAAAAAATGACTTACTTACGAGAGACTCAAAAACATATTCTGTAATTTAAAATTGTATACAGATTGAAAAAACAAGTAACTAAATTATTGAACCCCCATTAGCCCCTTCGTTAGTGAGTGATAAAACCCGCCCCTGACCAGGTTACGATCGTATGCCATTCGGCGTTTTGTGTGTCACGCGGCCGACCGGATGATGGTGACGGCAGCCGTGACGGGTTACGTCGAGGCGACGGGCGGCAGTTAACCGAATGGTTGCAAAAAAATTAAAAGAGTTTCGCAAAACGTCGGGAAAACGCGTCGACAACGCGGTAGTGCGACCGCAAGGCGACCGGACGGGGCCGGTTGTACCCTGCGGAGACGGACGTGCGTGAAATCCGCAAAATCCGTCCGTGCGCGCGCACCGCGCGGCAACGCCGTTCCACTCGTGTGTTCCGCCTGAAGTGCCTCCGTCGATCAGCGAGGCCCAGGAGCAGGAGAGCTCGGTTGTTGAGGTCGTCGGGGTCGTCGGGCGTTCGACGTGGATGAACGGTCACGGATGTCTGACGGCACTGCTGCTGGCGGGTACCTGGTGGTGAAGGCTGAACCATGTACCGGCGCGTTCTCCGGTGGGGGACGGAACGCCTCGCCGCCGATATATATACAAAAACGCGGACCGCATTGCCGCACACTGAAGCCATGCACGGGATAACGTTCAGGTGTCTAGTGCTGTTGAACGTCATCTGGTGTTACCAGGTATGGGGGCACGCGAACACCGCCGTCGACGACCCCGGGGGACTCACGTCGTCCCTGCTGCAACCGTTGCAGCCCAAGTCGTCCGCGCTGGAACCCGTTGTCGCGTCGGCCGTGGTAGGCGCAGCGCCGTCTGATCTGGAGACGGCAGCATCGCACAAGAAGAAGAAGAAGAAGAAGAAGAAGTCGAAAAAGTTCAAAAAGGGCGGAGGGTCCAGCCACAAGGAAGACCATTTTAGCAAGAAGGGTAAGAAGGCGGACAAAGGTTACAAGTCGCACCACACAAATCACCACGGGAAGAAAGGCCACCACAAGAAGGCGGACAAAAAGAAGCACTACGCGGAGCATGGCGGCCACAAGAAGAAGCATCACGACGAGGGTGGTTATTACAAGGACCACCACAAGGGTGAGAAGGGCGAGAAAGGTCACAAGTTCGAGGATAAAGGCGCGTACAAGAAAGGCCATAGCACTAAAGGCAAGCACGAGGTGCATAAGCTGGACGAGTTCAAGAAGAACAAAAAGTTCTACGACGAGCACCACGACTCGGGACACCACAAGAAGCACGGAGGCTACGAACACAAGCACGCGCACAAGGAAGGCAAGAAGTACAAGAAGGGTCACAAGCATGCTGGACACCATCACGACCACAAAGGGAAGAAGGGCAAGCATCATCATGGCAAGCACTACAAGGAGCACAAGGGCCACAAGAAGGCGGCTGGACACGACGAAAAGTACGGGCACAAGAAGGATTACGAGAAGAAAGGTGCGCACGACGAGCACAAGAAATGGAAGTTCAGCAAAAAGAAGAAGCAGTGATGATCGGTGTAATCTTACTGTTTTGTATACGATAGGTATCATAATATTATTGTTACACCGTTTATACAATATACTAACACGTTATATGATGCGACTGAACCCGTTAGTTTTATCCTCTCAACCCGTTTCAATAAACGTATTTATCCGATCATATCATCCGATCGTTTTCTACGCGGCAGCCCTATAATAGCTATTCGAATGTTTCGAGTTCAATTTATATTTTATTTTTATCTCTCTATCTTTCTCTCTCTCTCCGTATGTATATCGTTTTCTTTTTGTTTCCCTTCCACTGCGCCGAGTGTACACCACCTACAACGACGTGGCATACGTCCGCGATGTCGCGATAATAAATATAATCGAAAAACTTTCTGATACCCCACATGATCGTTATTGTTCTCAATGCCCGTGGTAAAACTACTTAAACAGACACGGCAACTTACACGTATACACACACACACACACACACACACACACACACACACACTCACCCCACACACATTCATATTCACGCACCGATATTTACCTATACGTATATGTATACGTATACCTATACGATCGGAGTTTTAAAAAAACAACACACTACGATAATTTATTATGATATGTATGAGTTATGTTGTTATTTATTAATTCAGTAATATTTATAGATATATATTATTGTTTTTATTTTATGTATAGTTAATGAAATTAATATACGAATAACGAAATCGTTATACATGTATTAAAACGGCTTTTAATGTTTTTATTTATCTTATTTTTTCGTCGTAAATGCACGCATATTACAATATGTGATTTTTGGTAAACGGTGACGTCGAGCTCATTAATAATATCAATATAATTAGCTCATAAAAAACAACATGGTGTATCTGTAAACGGTTTCCCCAAACTTTTCGAAATTTAATTTTACGTTCTCTATGACGTCTTGCGTCCATCATTAATTGTAATATAAAACGTGAGCACCGGTAAAACAAATTGTGTGAACGACTTGCGCGGAAAATTTTCGAATCTGATCATTTTACGACGGATAACACTGGATTAACGTGTAATTATACAATATGTAAAAGTATATTTTTGAAGCAGAATCATCAGCCGTTTAATTGTGTCAATTACAGGCTGCCAAGAGTAAAACTAATAATAATAATAGTAAAATTGGCGGAAAAACAGTGTTTATGCACGCAACGTTAGATAATAGTAATAATTAGGGTACCTGCTGAAAAATGTGTCGACACATCGACGTGACGGCAGTGGTTTTTTTTTTCGTGTTTTTTTTTTCAATTCGCCGACTGAAACGATTACTGCACTGATGTTTAATGGGTGTGAATATCGTTATTTATTTATTAGCCTAAAAACGGTGGTTAATCGGTGAACCGAAATACCGTAACAGATCGCGTCTCTTTAGGTCAGGCGAGAGTTGCTGATGCGCGTACGCGCGCGCGCGCGCATGTCTTTGTGCACAATTAAAACGCATAATTTGCATTTAGCCATTACGCAATGATTTTAATAGTTTATTTTCTTGTTATGATAACACTCCGGGAGAACCTTTTTTCTTGAGCGTTTATTTTTAATTAAAAAGATAAAAAACAAAACTATGCACGCCTGCAGTGCGTAAATTCGTTAATAATACGGATTCGTTCTCGGTTGGATTTGTCGTCGTCGTATAAGATTTCAACGTCAATAAAATGGGTATACAAATAATAACGATGATAATGATGATAATGATGATGATGATAATAGTTATAAAATAAGGCTTATGCGTAAAGTAATTCAAAAAATAAAAGATATTCTTTTAAAAACGTTGTTGCAAAGAGTAAACATTTTTCAAGTACCCGTATATAATAAACACGCGTGACGCACACTGTAGGTAAATATTACGCGGCGGCCATCACTTATACGCCTAACGAGTGCTGCATTTCAATAATATGGCTTTTTATATTAATATAATCTCGTTGCAATTAGTTTCACCGGGTTGTACGTAACATTATACTCTCATGGCGCAAACGTACCCGTTCTGCACAGAACGTACCATTTGTACGTCTTATAGGTACAAAACGTAATACTGAATTTGAATGTGCTCACGACTTAACTCTTGTTTTCAACAATACGCTTTAATATCGCGGAATGATAGTACTAGAGCTCTCGGATTCGAACGTGATTTAAGATTCACGTAATCACGTGTACTTAAATTTTAAAATTTGTGATTTTATTTTGCGTGTAATTAATTATAAAATCACGGATATTTACTTAACATGCGCTTAAAACAAAAACTAAAAAATTTTATACCTACTATTCTAAAAAGAAATGTTTCATAAACTGTATTATCGTAAGACGGGTGCATAATCTATGCACACAATAGCGACATGGACATTTCTACGAACAGTACGAAGTTCGTACTACAAACCGATAGTAATCAAATGTAAAATGTAATAATAAACGCGTTATATAAAAACAAAATGCACGGATTCACGTGATTGCATACGTGAATTTTAATTTCATCCGTATCCGTGAGTTTAACTACACGTGAAATAGAGACCTCTAGTTAGTACTTGCGATCACCACAAGGAAATCCAAGAAGTAGCCCCTCTTGGACTTCCAGTAACTTACTAAAAAAAATTATTTTTTTGTTATTTTTTTTTTTTTTTTTTTAAATCATAACTAGGTATTGCAATATTCATTTTAAATATAATAAAAAAATCTTTTCTTCAATCATGTTTTAGTCTCATTCCATATACAAATGGATATAACAGACAATTGTATATACTTTATAAATATAATTTAATATGATTTTTTTTTTATCCAGTTAAATGCCTTTTTTTGCTCGTTTCTGTACATTTACCTAAGGTCATATTTGATATTTTTATTTGATATTTTCAGTATAAAATAGGTACATTATATAAATCAAAGAAATTAAATATTCGTTTATGTTTATCCAACATTGCTCGTCAGCAAACTATAGCAATCATATAAGCTTATATATATACCTTATATTTATATATATCTTTTTTGTAGTCTTCTATAAATTCGTTATTTTCATGACATGAATAGTTGCTATTTAGCTTCCAACCTGTATATGGTTCAACACTGTTGCGCATATACAAGTAGGATGATTATATTATGCATTTTCAATTTATTTTTTAAATTTAATAATCTCGCTCGTTCGCTATCAATGCTAAAAGTCAAAACATTGAGTTCTGGATGACTACGAGTTTTCGTGACCGAATTTGAGACACAAAATTAAAGCCGTTATAGTGACAACAGATTTACTGTTGAGCAAAATGCATTACATATTATAATGTTTATAACTATTATTAATTTAACTATATTTTAACGCGTTTTGGTACATTAACATTTAAGTAATTTAAGTGCGCACAAACATCGTAAAATAAAATTATAACTGTTCAAATTTCATACTGGAGGAGCGGAAAATGACGTATACATGTTTTCATATTTATTTAGATTCTCTAATCTACTAGGTAATAAAGCTCAACTCTCGTTAAATAAATCACATCCTGAAAATTATTTTCGAACATAAATTATACCTACGTATTGTTTGCACGAATACCATTTTATTCATTTTTACTATTATTACGCAACATTATTATTTAAACAATAAAAAAGGATTATATAATAAAATAAATACATTTGGAATTTCTTCCAACACTCGGCGTTTTTGATATAATATTATACAAGAAATGAATGGCCTAAAAATGCATAAAATTATATCCTAAATATTTTACATTTGCCATAAAAATAATATTAAAATATATTCAATAGAAAAACTATTAAATATTTTCATTTGATACTAATTGGGGAAAAAATTAAATTGAGAACAAAATTCATATTATAATAGGGTAACCATATTAAGAAAATAAAAAACGGGATAGCTGTTAATTCTCCCTCCCCCCAAATAAAATACCTTATCCATATATATTCACAATTATGCACACAAATGTTGAGAGTTTAAGTCCAAATCTCTGTCATATCATAAACAATTATTTTCTTTTTACTTTACCCTTTTTTAGTAAAATAACCTAAATAATAAAATATTTTCTTTTAGTTATTATTAAATTATTAAATCAGTAATTTTATAGTTCGTCGGCATCGGGACTTGACCCTCGTTCCACGAAAACTTTTATTTGTTATTCTAACTTTGATTTCACATTTTAAATATACGAGTAAAACTGTTTTATATTTTTTCATACATAGATATTTTATTTACAAGCATTAATAACTTATATAATAAATAATATAGATATAACGGGATTAAAACGAGACAATCTTCTAAAAACGCGATGAAAAGCGTCTCATTCAAAGTTTGTTAGGACAATGAGACGTGATGATCAAAAAAGGGACAATCCTGTTTTAAACGGGACATCTGGTCACCCTATATTATAAGGTTATTGTATTAGTATCTATGATTGGTTAGTTTAAAACACCTGCCTGTGACCGAAATGGGACTAAATCCGAAGTGCTTCGACCAATAAACGGACCAAACAATTTAAAAATCAGGATGAATTATCATAAAAAAATATATTTTTAACACGCAAACGTTTACATTGCGCGATTCAAATGACGGCACTGCATTAGGTGCGTATCAGGAATAACACTATGAATACAAGGTATGTATATCATTCATTTGAAATGGAAAGATTTTCCTACACAGGCGTGTTTCCATTTTTCTTGAGCCGCGGTATGAATACAGTGCCGCTTACAACACTGTTATAACTGTAACAGTCAGGAAGTCGAGGGGATGTTTTACATAAAACGTCATGTTATAGTACTTATATAAACTGAGTGTTTCAGCATGATATGACCAACAAAAATGTTTGTTCCAACCTTAATCAATATTTATTTATTTTTTATCTGTATTTAAATTAGATTTATATTTTCTTGAAATCAAAAAAATAACAATTTATAGAATAACCCAACTATCAAAAATATCTATTTTTTAAATCCGAATGTTTATAAATGTTCAATACATATATTCTTAATAAAAGTTAATCCATTAATGTTCTATGATTTTGTAATAGAAAAAAAAATGTAATTTAATTTAACTTTTCACGTGTTCATTGATTTGACCATTAATGATCTATTACGAATTAAAAACACTGATATCGAATCTTGACAGGATTAGTACAATTGAAGTAAAATGTTTAAAACAATTTATAATAAATAAAAAATACTTAAATGTACGATAGAAATTTTACCATAGTAATTCTATAACCTAATTCTGAAAATTAGGTTTACGATGCACCGAATCATTTTGATTTTCTCAAAAAAAAAAACAATTGAATACAGTTTTGATTATTAAATTACAAGATCCAGAACAAAAAAAAAAAAAAATTCGTTCTTGCGCGGTAATGTGATTCGAAAAAAATAAAAAAATGTTGAACGAAGAAAAAATGAGTGCATTTATGAAAAATAAATCTGTATTGGTTTGCATGCGCACGGTGCACGTCATCGCGGAACCGCGCCCGTGCGTCAGCGGTCGATAGCTTCTTGTCTGGGCTCGATTTCCGACGGTTAAACACTACTCAGACGCACAGGCTTGCGTTTAAAACGCGTAGTGTGTGCTAACCGGCTTGAATCGTCAAAATTA